CACCTCTTTTCACAGTGGTTGTACAGTTATGTAACACACACACACACATATTTTCTGATAGGTCTTTGGAATGAATTTCTAGATATTTTCTTCTATATAAGAATTAGCCTGCTAGATTAGACTAAGTGCTTCCTTATTCTAGCGTTCCATTTTCCAATGCAGTTGATTAGATTCTTCAGAAAAGCTAATCTCTTCTTCTGCTCTTGTTCTTCAGCAAAGATGTAAGACTATCATAACTAGTAAAATTTAGTAAATGCTCCTAGAATTCAGTTGTGCCTTCCATCTAGTTTGGTAATGTTTTCGTAGCTCAAAATAAAAAATTCAACCATGTCTAGTGCAAGACTTTGGGGCAAAATTCCAATAAACAAAGGCAGGGAAAGCTTTGGTTCTTGAGATGCTATAGGGTTCCAATTAGCCTCATGATTGATGATAATAAATGATCAACTATGTCATCCAGTGCTATCTAGGAAGGCAAGGTTTTGTTGTCTTCTTTATTGCATTTAGATGTAGAATGTTGTCCTGGCTTAAGAAATACCTTTAACCCGTATGTGTGTGTGCATTAGGTGTTACTTCTCTAAGAACCTTTGAGCTTGGTAGAGACAACATATTTCTGCTTACTATTAACGTAGTTTTTCCCCCCATTTGGTGAAGAATTTGTTCACCATGGCTTCTCATCCCACGCTGGATTGAATGGGGTTTGGGCTAATGTATAGCCTCTGTAAACAAATGCTCCACGATTAATTACAGGGCAGCTGTGTTACAAGATGAGCACAGACTCATGGGCAAAAGCATTTTAGGCTTTTCATATGATAATTGTGGCAAATACATGAACAACTGTTTTACAGTGCTTTGAGGATAATTTTCTTATGTCAGGCAATTCTTTACCAGTTTCAAGGCAAAGCGGAAAATGGTACACCTGTCACATACACTCTGGGATTTTAAGCTATTTGTGCAAACCCTCATTGTGTTTGCTCATAATTTTCCTGGAACAGATTCAAGTAGCCTTTCAGTCCCAGATGCACAGCTGTCATGTGTTGATTTTGGAGGGCATTGTTTACAGATGTCACAAATAGGATGGCTAGCACACTGGGGTTGTGTTGGTACTGGACAGAATATCAAGGTTGACAACCTGACAAAACCATGTTATTTTGGTCTGCTCTATTTCACTGTTGTGTGCCTTCAAGCCATTTCCAGCCTATGGCAACTGTAAAGCAAACCTATGTGTTTTTCTGGGGCAGACAATGCCCAAGGGCACCCAGTGGGTTCTCATGGCTGAGCGAGAAATTGAACCCGTTTCCAGAGTCATGGTCCACTATTGCACAACTAATCTTTATATGTTTCCCATATATTAGAGCTTCGTGTTCTCAATTTAAATCACCAGTTTTCTTTTTTGTCTTTACTTTCTACACCTTCTTTCGGCAAAACAAAAAGGAGGTGTTCTTTCATTCTGCCCTGAGAGGACATATTGTGTTAATCCAATGCAGTTTTGTTTTTGTTTTTTGCAAAGATTCAATAGAAATTGTGGTCAAAAAGCGACAAGGTTTTCCAGTGCAGCATTCTGAATGTGAGAGTGTAACTTAGCCAAGGTAACCAATGGGTTTTCTTAGCAAACCCAGGATCCAAACCCTGGCCTCTCAAGACTCCTATTCCAACATTCAAACCACTATATGACCCTGAGTACAAGGAAACATACACACATTTAACATTGTTTATTACTGGCCACCTCAGGGGCCATAGGATTGGATGAAATGTCAACTTTGCCTAAGGCATTCTGCCCCACTTTATTCACTTCTAGAGTCAACTGAAGAAACACCACCAGCCTGTATAGATGGCTGTTACTCCAATTTTTCAAAGGGCAGGTTGAGACTGAAAGATGCAACACTGGCCCATTTCTCCATTACTGAGCAAGACATTTATCAAGAATTTCAGAGTTAGTTTCTAGCCTTAACTGACCTATTATCACTCTTCTTTTATAGCGGGCCAGTTATAACATTCCAACATGAAAAAAGAAAGGCTGACATTCTGTGTAATTAGTTTCTCAGGATGTTGTTAGCATTTTTTAATATAAAAGACTTGCATTCCTTCCAACTGCATTTTAGGGTTATTTTTAAAAAACATTTTGTGATTTTTCTGGCTGTTATCTCTCTCACATTCTCCTGGTACTATTCCCTTTGCAGAGGTTTAAGCCATATAGAATTAATCCTTTCTTTGTGAAAATAAAATTTTCAGAGTGAAAATAAAAAGAGGCCAACACTGCTGAAATAATGAATGCTTTGTTTATGCCCTACCATCTGGACACTTGGAGGCTTGAGTTGCTACAAACCCCTGCGTTAAGTGGCCTTGATTCCTATGCCTGCGGAAAAGACCAGGCACAAATTATCCTCTTCCTGTTGCACCAATTAAAATCCACAGGTGCAACCCAACTGTAATCAAGAGCTCCACAGAGACGTATGCACTGGAGACTCATCGTATAGGACATGTGCGGGAGGGTTGTGTGTCCTGTGTCACGGGGCCCTGAGATCTTCCCCCAAATTCAGGCACCAGATTGTCAGTGCAAAGCCTCGTAAAACAACAAAGACAGGAACTTGGCTGTTAAGACTAATCAGAACGTGTGAGTTTCATCTTAATAATCTAGTTTCTCACTCCAGGGCTATATGTTTGAAACAGACTTGCTGGGTGTCTCTAAAGACCATCCATGCCTTGTATTAAACAGCTGCATTGCAGAAAGGGAGCATGCAGAGCCCAGAGCAGGAAATGACTCTCCAAGGAAGCAAGCCACACACAGCAAGGAAAAGCAATTCTTTTCAGTTGTGCCAAGAGGAAAACCCTTATTGACTAAATACTGTGTAAGAAATGAGGCAGCTAGTTTGTCGCCGCTAGCTCACTCTCACTAGAAAGCAACCAAGGTGGAAAAAAGAATGAGACAAGAGTAATATTAACACTTTTGTAGTAAGCCCTGAGTTCCAATTGACATGAGTTCTATCTGGAACAATTGGACTTCTGAGTATTGACATAAGGGAGAACCATACTATTGTAGCCCTGCTGTGTTGCAATTCTCTACTCCCCAAACCTCTTATGATCCCACTGATGACTCTTGAACCTCCAGATTCTTGAGCTTTTGGAAATTATCTCCTTTGAGGAGCTGGAGAGCCTGGCACCAGCCTCCAGTTTTACCTTTCCTTTTCCTCATGCATAGACCCATAGAATAAGTTGAAACGGGGAAGGAGAGGCGGATGAAGACTATAAAATCTTTTTTTTGTAAATGTCCCACCTTCAGCCTGGTAGGTTTGAAGAGCAAGGGTAAGAAGAGTCATGCAGGATCAAAACAAGGGCTCACTCAATCTACTGTTATGTTCCCATAGTGGCTGACATATGAGTAATCTACATGTAGACCACTGTTGTGAGTGGGTGGGGTGGAGTTGTGTGTAGAGTTTTGGTATATTCTCTGTGGTTGCCCCTTGGCTCTGGAACTCGCTCCCCAGGGAGGTTAGGCAAGCACCCACCCTAGCAGCCTTTAGAAAAAGCTTAGAAACTTGGCTTTTACAGTGTGCTTTTGGGGAATGAACAACCAATTGCCATACCATGTTCCGTCCCAGTATCACTTTGTCTTTTGATGTACCTCAGTGGAGATTAACGTGATTGTTTATCCCTTCCAAGTCTCCCACTAGTCATGGCACCTTCTATCTATCTCACCCACAGGTTTTATAATTTTTACCCATTTCATTTGGCTCAGCTCACTCTGTCTAATTCTTTTAGCATTTTATAATCAGCTTTTATCACTTTTTTGTTATTTTTATTGCATTACTATGTTTTTGTTAAGCATTTTTTATTTTATGTTATTGTCTGTTTTATATGTGCTTTTGCTTTATTGAAATTGTTTGGGCTTGGCCTCATGTTAGCTGCCCCGAGTCCCTTCAGGGAGATGGCGGCGGGGTATAAACTACTACTACTACTACTACTACTTCTTCTTCTTCTTCTTCTTTTTCTTCTTCTTCTTCTTCTTCTTCTTCTTCTTCTTCTTATTATTATTATTATTATTATTATTATTATTATTATTATTATTACTACATGGAGTGCATTTGATACACCAATCAAGAAAATTTTAGCTGCAGTGTTTCTGTAAGCACCCTCAGTTTCCTTCTGTGAGATAGAAAGATAGATTCATTTGTAGAGTCAAAACAGTGTTTTGTATTTGGGACTCCAAATCAATATATGCCTTGCTTCTTGGGCACTACTTAGTCCTCCAGTGCATGCCCAGGTCTTAAAAAATGAATGTTGGACATTTGGCATTGCAGAGTGACTATGAAGTGATACCAATTAAATTGTTTCCAAACACTTAGTTTATACATTCCTTAATCCAACATATCTTTTTAATATAACACTTGTTACACTTTGGACATACCAAAGGAGAAAAACAAGGCTATGTGTCTGCCCAGTTTTTCCTAGAGTGGAAGAACCCTATAAAACCAAGTGTACCTGGGCTGAGAATTTAGCTTTTCTGACATGAAAAACTGATGATGTGATAAACACTTCTTCTGAACACCATCTGTCTTGTATGTGTTTGTGTATACATACACACACTGTGTCACAAGAATTACTTGAAATTGAGAAAAGATGCAAACAAACACTATTAAGTATGAGGGGAAGCAACAAACTGGTTAACTTGCAGTGTCATGTTAAATTTAGTGAAGGAATAGGGTAATATTTGTGGTGGTGATTTATAAAGGGATAGAGATTTCTCTCAAAACAATATCTACTTGAAACTTCAAAGAAGTAGCACCCACCTGGCTATTGGGAAAATTGTCCACATCCCTATCAATTGTCACATCAGCAAAATACGAATTAGCTAATAATTTAAATAATTACCAGAAAATAACCTCAGAAATATGTGCACAATTTCCTTGTATCCAGATCCTAGATCATATTTTTATATTGTGGTTTACCTTATGGCAAGCTGGCTTAGCTATGTGTTGTTGGTCAAATTGGGTTACACACAAAGATCGTCCCATATCTGAATTTATTTTCTATAAAGGAGAATGCAAGGCTATTCATTCTTTGGAAATCTCATACTAAGAAAACTGTTTCCTACAAGTAAAAAAGCCTAAGCTCAATTCCACAGATTTTGATCCAATATAGTGCAGAATTTTTCACAACTTGCCAGGACCAACTTTCAATAGGATTCAGTTCAAGATGTGGACTTTCATCAATGTGACATCATGTATTCAATAACTTGGCGTAAACAGAGAAAATTTGATCTTGAAATCAGTTGCTAGTAACACATGTGCAACAGTTCAATATCTGCACATTGAGTGTCAATAACACCCTCAAGGAAATCAACAGAGGCTGTACTGGATTACAAAGAACACATGACTTAATATGATGAAACATAAATATATCATTTCAAGCAGTTCTGTACAGCTTTCACAACATCTTCCAAAATGTTGTCTCTGTTCTCCTTTGTGATCTAGAAACAGAAAAAGAAGTCAGATATCAACATATAAAGAATTTGGATTGGTAACTACTAGGGCTGTCCAACCACGGAAAAATTTGTTTCTAAATTCGATTCGTTTTTAGGGGGTTTTTGCGTTTCGTTATTTAAAAGAATTCCAAAATTTTTCTTTTAAAAAGTTCGATATTTACGAAATTTCGGAAATTACAAAACAATTACGAATCGATTCATTAATGGCAGACGCGACCGCGCAATACGCTAAAAAACCTCCAAATGGGACAGGGGGAACTTCTGAAGCTTCCCTCTCCCTCTGTTGTTGACTGTTGGTGTGATATTTATAATTTTTTTCACTGATTAAACAAACAACAACTATAAAACTTGCCCCAGACATCCGGAAATAATAACGAAACGATTTCAAAACAATAACGAAACGAATACAAAACAAATTTGAAACAATTACAAAACGAATTTTAAAATTCGTTTCGTTTTTTAGATGCTCCTGAATGGTTCGTTATCGCTTCGTTATAAAAAAACGAATTTTTATCGAATTACGAAATTACAAAACGAAACCGCCCAGCCCTAGTAACTACCGTCAATTCACTCACTTAAAACAAGTATTTGCACTACATGGTTGAAAAAATAGGGACAAATTCTTGGAAAGGTGAAGACGGATGTGTCCCTGATTAGAAGAACAAAGCCCGAGGAATGCAGAATGCAAGTATTTCTTCTTAAAGACACATAGAAATCCTTTCACTCAAATTCGATATTGAGAGAACATTCCTTCTGACCCTATGCACCTAAATCCAAATTATTTCAGATATATTTGCCCCTGGTTGCGCAATGGGTTAAACCCTTGTGCCAGCAGGACTGACTGACAGGTCAGTGGTTCGAATCTGGGGAGAACAAGTTGAGCTCCCTCTGTCAGCTCCAGCTCCGAGGACATGAGAGAAGCCTCCCCAACAAGGATGGTAAAACATAAAAAAAACCGGGCGTCCCCTGGGCAACGTCTTTGCAGATGGCCAATTCTCTCACACCAGGAACAACTTGCAGTTTTTCAAGTTCAAGTCGCTCCTGACACGAAATAAAATCAGGTAAAAAAATGCTGATGCAATCAATATGGATGGCATACTACCAAGCCAGAAAAGATATGAAATATTTATCCATTGTGAATACGCAAGTTTTATGCCATGCTTGAAAACTGGGAAAATATGGTCCTGGGAAGGAGTGCACACATTATGTTCCTTCTAGAGTGCTGAAACAATCCGCAGACAAGACACTGAAGAGCTCCAAAGGGAATGCTTGACAGCATTCCAACAACATATCGACTCAATCAGCACGAACTAAATTAGGCAACTGGAGGATGGGATAGTGGCAAATAGGGCCATGAATAGCAAGGAGTGATCAGCTTGCAAAATCACGCTGAGATGGTCTCTGGTGAGCTTCAGGGAAAAAAAGAAAGAGAATGAGATGGAAAGTGGAGCTACCAATCAATATCCTTTTGAAGCTTTCACCCAAATAAATTGACATGAATAAATTTAAAACATCTTGGGTATTCGCCAGTATTGATTTTGCATCCAGGACTTCTGGTTTCATGAGGCTTAATATAAAGACAACCTGACATGCTGGTCAGGACAAACAAATGGGAGACGGAGATAGGCAGACAAAAGAAAGAAGAATCTTGTAGCACACACAAGTGCAGAGGAGAAAACATGATGGGAAGTGGAGTTGATAGTATCCCAAGTGCCTGAAAGGTGCTAAAGAGCCTAGATGTGCGATTGCTAAACTCTGGTCCTGGCTCCAAAGAATATGCATGTTTTGAAGTTCTGGTGGCAAATAAAAACCAACAACGGTGTGGCATGTATTATAGTCATATCTCAGTTAAGACAGCCTCTGAGGGAAAAACCTTCATTTTTATTCAGAATTTTTATGCCTTCCCAGAGCCCCCTTTTGCTCCTTGCCTTCCGTGGAAGTATTTTTAAACAATATCAGCATTGGAAAGATGATAAAGGAAGACGAGGTTACAACTTCTTGTCTGTAGTAAATATTGAAATATAGCCTTGAGTGAGTAGGAATGGAATTTGTCTCTGGTCAGTCCAACTGTAGCAGTTTAGGTTACAACAGACAACATACTCCCTTGCTGGGAGTATCTGAACAACAAAGCAGAAAAGTGAGAAACAAACTAGCTCTGCCTCACTGACTCTACCACATCATGTTAAAAAGCCATCAAGAAGGAAATCACAAGGACAATGACGGCTAGTAAAAGAAAGAAGGCACTATACTTGCACAATCCTTCATTTTAACAACTGCTCACATATCTTTGTGAGGAGGCCCTTCACCTGCTCAATTCTTATTTGCTGTCCACTAACCTCTGTCCCACACAATTAAATTTTCTTTCAGTCCATAGATTTCTAGTACTGCATAAATTGAAAATAATTCACACCTGAGATGCTTATATCTGCTGAGTTTGCATTCCCTTGGTAATTCTGCCTCCTCCTTTTCTTTGGATGGCTAAACTGCATTTCTAAATGCATAGAAGACATTTCAAGCAACCAGAAATTTGAAAATTGAAAGAAAAATTTATAAGGGGGGAATTTTTATTAAGGGGACAATGCTGTCATTTCACCACCCCGTAACCCGTGGCAGGCGGGGCTTTGCTCCCATCCAGTGTTATTTTGGATCTCTTTCTTTCTCTTTAACATTTCTTTTCCTCCAAATAGTCTTTTGATTTTATTTTTCATTACAGTATGGACATTCCTTATCCAGAATCCCAAAATACTCCATAATCAAAACATTCAGCAGAGAGAGGGTTTCCTGATGGCTGAATATGCACAAACTTTTTGTTTCATATATAAAATTATTTTTTTTAAAACAGTGTATACAATTACCTTCAGGGTACATATATGAGGTGTATATGAAACATAAATTAATTTCAGATTTAAACTTGGTTCCATCTCCAAGATATCTTATGTATGTAGATTCAAATGCAGGTATTCCAAAATCCAAACAAATTCTAAATTCCAAATACTTTTGGTCCCAAGTATTTCGGATAAGGGATGCTCAAACCGTGCAACAATGGAAAGTGATACTTGATGCAACTGGAAAGTCTAAGCAGGTCTAAGTAACTGTTTCAAAAGTGCATGTAAACTACCAATACTTACAGTGAAGACCTTCACCTCCTTGTGACTTCTAACTTCTTCCACGAGCCCCAGGGGCTTCCCTTTGGGCACCGGAATGGTTCCAAGCATCACAACTCCTGATCCACTCAGCAATTGACGGGCAGCTTGAATGAATGACTGGCTGAAGAGCTCCATTTTACCAATCTCGTCAATTACACAGATCTTTTTCACTCCACTACTGTCAGGATGAACCTGTGAGGGAAAACATGAATCTGATAAAAGTGCTCAACAAGAAATCTGAGCAAATATATAGGTAAAGTTAAATGTAAGCCAATAGATAAAGGGCAACAGAATACTTACGCTGAAAAATATTTTGCATGGACAATGGAAACACAAAGGAACTGCAATGGTTCCAATAAACATCCATTCTGACTTTGGGATTTTAGTGATGGCATTTAAAACTGTAAGTTGATTGAAACTTGGTCTGAGATCAACAGAGGAGGCTCTTCTCTGGGTTCCTTCAATGGAAGCAAGACACAGTAAAGGGCCTTTCTTGCTTTGGAGGCATGAATGTTACCAATCTTAGCCTTATCGCAGTGCCTTGTGAAAACCTCGCTTTTCATCGAAGTGTTTGAGTCTCAGTAACCATGGTTTAGTTCACCATGATGGATTCTGGTAGCCAAAATCCAAAACGCCTGGAGGATCAAAGACTGAGGACTACTGTTCTTGGGAATGCCCTTTCTCCTTAGGAATATTGTCCAAGAAAACCTATTTGCCTTATTCCAAGATGAAACCTACACACAATCTTTTTTCTTTGCTTTAGGAAGGTATGTAAGGAGTCTGCCTTGACATCAAAGCATGAGATATCTTACTAGCTATATGTATATCCGACTGTTCCCCAAGAAGCTGCAGATAACATAAATGACTACCCTCTCTATTAAGTCCTCATTATTATCCTGTAAAATAAGATAAATAGGCTGAAAAAGAAAAATGAAATGTCCAAAACCACCTCCTGAATTTCATGGCTTAGTGCAAATTAGAGCCTTGAGCTCTCAAAGTCCAACCCAATGCTGCATATATTGAATAAGAAAACCTGAGCCCTGCCACATACACAATGGAGGACCTTCTCACAGCGACACCAGAGGCACACCAAGTGGCCAGCTAGTGGTCAGTGGACATCTAGTATAATGCAAAGGTTTTAACTTTGTTTGCGTTTTAAATGAATTTTAACTGAACCCTCAATTTTCTGACATGAGAAATAAATTAAAAAATAGAAATACATTTTGATATAAGTATTTACATAATGTTTTATATTGATGGTGATTTTAACTTTGTTGTGCCTTGCCTCAAGAAGGGGCAAGTAAGAAATAATAATAATAATAATAATAATAATAATAATAATAATTTAGGTTTCACATACAAATTATTAATTCACATCTTATACCGTTGTGTTGTTATTGGATGTTAATATTCTGTCCAATAACATGCAGTAATTTTGTTACAATAACAATAAATTATTATTACATGTCAGTGCTTTCCCCCACCTTCACTGCAAGTGCTTATCTTTTTATTTTTCTAGTATGTCTAAATGAATGGTCCTGTACCTAAAGAAATTGTTTTAGACATACACTAGCAAAACTCATTTCAACTCACCCTCCAGGCTTTATCCTGCTGTCTAAGGCACTCATTACCTGCTTCTAAATAGCTGTGATTCTTTTTACAAGCGAAGAAAAACCAAAGGATGTACCTTAGCAAAGTCTTAGCAAAATGGAGACATACTGTATATACTCGAGTGCAAGTCTAAAAATTTCAGTCAAAACATTACAAAAAACCAGGTTGACCTATACAAGGCTCAATAAAAGTACTGTACTTTAAATCTTATCACAAAAGGAACCATCCTCTTCTGTAGGTAAAGTGGGAAAAGGCAAGACCTTAGTCCATCCTGGGAGAATCTAAAATAAGTACTGATCTCTCCATTCTTTCCACTTCTGGGCTTATTGAATGACTGGGCAAGAAAATAGCAGCAGGCAGAGGCAATTGACACAAGGAGCTCTGGCACTTTCCCCTCTCTAAGTAATGATCCTCAACTTATTCACAGGTCATATCTAAATTCACTATTCTTAATTTCCTAGTAGTATCACAAAATAATTCATGATTTGTGTCTGGTTTTTTTATCAAAAAAACTTCAACACTAACATGGTATTTCCTGAATTCATTAGAAAAGCAATATTAATGAAGTGTTTCAAAATGAGAGGGAGAATGCACTAGTGGATCATATCTAGAGAAGCAGAGGGACAAGATGCTTCTTTTCCCTCTCCTTCCAAAGCATTTTTGAACTTTTCTGGATTACAGCATCCCATCATCCCAAGATGGCATTGATAGGGAGAACTGTAGCTTCACTCTGGAAAATCATTCAAGACAATGTATTTCTTCAGTTCAAAGATGTACTTTTCCACCATGTAAATGTCTCTAAAAATGGTCTGAGAATCATGTTTGTATGTCTCTTTCTCTCAGTCTTTTTTCTGTTTGTGGTACTGAAATTGGTGTGCATTGTACAATTGATGGCATCTTAGAATGGAAGAATTACAGTCATTATTATGTCATCAACTGCTTAGGCCAAGAAAATACAAGCTTCTCCATTTTCCATTTTTGTTGCATTAATGATTGCTCTAAGCTGCCTCAGTGCCAAATCTCGATGAAAAGTGAAATATAAAATTGATTTGGGGGGGGGGGGGTTGCAAAAATAATACAATTAGGGGAGTGTAGAAAAGGCTATTTCCAAAGATCCCATTCTTGAGTACATTAAATACAGGAATAAGATTGCACGAAAACGTCCACCTCTATATTTTCACAAAGGTCTGATTGAAGATTTTGCAAGACATGAGAAAACACCACCTAGAAAATGTGACACAATCACACTATTGTGAAAGAACCACTGCACTTTACCTTTGAAAAATTAGGAATGCATTTTCATTATGCCAAGAACTAGCCATCACGTTTTATCCATCCAAAGCCACCAAGTTCCAATATGTCACTCACATTTCTCAGTAAAGGAAGAGCCAACTGTTCAAATGATGCTAGGTCCACTACATACTGCCCAACACGATATTCACGCCTTGCCGTTGCAGGACCATCACTGAAAAAAGAAAGAAAGGAAGGAATAAAAATCCAATGCTTTAATCAGAAACAATTGACTTCCTAAAGTGTTATTCCTTAACACAAACCTCAGGCCCTGTAAGGCATGTCAAAATCCTCCAGTTGGCTTGTCATAATGCTTCCTCTTCCCTTTGTAATGACACCCCCACCTCCATTTTTAAATGCTCCAGACAGCTGTTAGTATGGCTAGGATATGCATAATGTATCATAATTAATCATGACAAAGGTGAAAAGTGGTATCTACTTGGAGCACTATTTTATAGGACAGATGTTGGCCCTAAGGCAATAGATCAAAGAGTGCAGCTTGCCAACTGTCCATAGAATTGCTCTAGAAGCTTGCTGTAGTTTTTAATTGAGAGTCAAGTATTGATTTCCTAACCAATTTTATTGCACATCATTGTGATGAAGAGTAAATACCCTCCTCTGCCTGCCATTTAGAGACTACTGTTTCACTCCTTGGTGCCAGCATGTAAATGCCTTCATCTAAATGTTCACTAAATGGTAATTTCAAAATTTCATTAATCTTTCACTGTGCATGTTACTTCCGTTTTGCAAAGCCAAAAATGAAGGAGGCTGGTTATCTTGCAGATTCAGTGGTGAAACAGAAGTGGCGGCATACAGTGGTTTGAACACTGGACGATGACTCTGGAGAACAGGATTCAAATCTCAGTCGGCCATAGAAACCCACTGGATTATGCAAGTCTCTCTCTCAGCCTTGGAAGGAGACAAAGGCAATCCACTCTAGGCACAAATCTTGCCAAGAAATCCCAATGGCAGTTTTACTTTAGGATGTCATAAGTTCAGAAATGACTTGAAGGCATACGACAGGAGGAGGAGGAGGAGGAGGAATAAAGGGATACTTGTAGCACCTTTGAGACTAAGAGAAAAAAGCTGGCCACATAAGCAAAACTCTATGGTCCCGTCTACACTGCCATATAATGGAGTTTGAAACTGTATTATATAGTCACTGTATTAATCTCATATAATGCAGTTTGTGCATTAAACTGTATTACATGCAACTACTACATTGACCATATAATGCAGTTTCAAACTGCATTATATGGCAGTGTAAATTGGTTCTACTTCACCTTGGAGTGAAATGCCTAGGAACAGGCTTTGATGAGTGGGCTTTATGTCTGAATAGCAATAGAAATACAACTTAGTAGGTACTGTGAGAATATAACAGTTTTCAGAATAGCCATTTAAGTACAAAGACAAGAGGAACTATTTTGCCTAAACCCTAGATGAGTAGATAACCCTACGAATAGAGGAAGGAGTTGTTGGGCTGCTGGTTGGGGACCAGAAAGGAAATGCAAGAAACTTGCCAAGGGAGCCCTCATGAGGTTGGAGTATTAACTAATGTTAACTGTATTTGTCTCTGTTCAAATCATTCTCGATGGACTAGTTTCTGGATATATCACACTTCTGCTGTTTCTCTTTTCAATCTGCCTTCAAAATATTTTTCTTCATGGACTGCTATTTGGAAGTCCAAGATTTGCAATTTGTTTTTGTATATTCCTATTCCTGATATCCCATTTATGTCAATTTATTCTCCAGCACAGAGACTTCCCTGTTCCCCCAGTGTAGAGTGTTACAGGGCATTGTTCACATGAGGATAGTATGTAGCATATTAGAACCCAGGTGCCAAATTAAAGGCCCATGGGATGAATCCATCATGCCATGTCACTTGATGTGGCCCTCCAGATCCTGGACTACAAGTTCCATATTGTAGGCATCAGGACGAGAACTAATGGAAGTTGTGATACATTAACATCGAGAAGGCTGCCATTCAGTGAAGATTGTGGGGTGTGAATTTAGATACCAGGCTTGTGGATATTTTTAACTTTAAAATGTCCTTTAACCTTTCCTTAACTTCAGAGTCACAAGTGTTGTTGGGCTGCAATTCTCATTATCCACATGGCAGATAATCAAAAGTGATGTGAGTTATCATCATCATCATCATTTATGCCCACCTTTCTCCCTGTGGGGACTCAAGATGGCTATCACTCCACACTGGACAAGTTTAAAAGGTGCAATACAAAAGTTAAAAAGCAATTAAATAGTAACAGTGTGGTAAAAACAAAATTAAAATATACTAAATACAATAAAATGGCCTTTAAGACTCATATCCTACCCTCAATCCTACCTACAGCACCCCTGAATTAAAAATCACAGCACCTCCTGACTTGATCTTGAAAACCTTCATCTTCAAATGCCTGTCTGAATAAAAAGGTTTTAGCCTGCTGCCGGTAGGACAGCAGGGAGGGGGCTGTTCTGGCTTCCCTGGACAGGGAGTTCCAGAGTTGAGGGGCTCTCTCTCTTGTTCCCACCAACTGAGCTTGGAATGGAGGTGGGACCAAGAGAAGGGCTTCTCCTGAAGATCTCAGGGCCCAGATAGGTTCATAGAAGGTTGTAGTTCAATAACATCTTGGGACCCAAACTAGGTAAAACCTAGAGCATCGACCACTATGTAAAAAAATTATAGCTGGCCCTCTGTATCAACAGATTCTCTGTCCATGGATTCAACAGCCCTTTGAAAGCAACCAGAAGGCTGATGTGACCCTTGATGAAAATGAGTGTGACATCTGTGCATTAGACGATGAGCAAGTGAAAGTACCTCTAATAGTGTGATTGATGCGATTACATTCCTGTCATATTTCTTGAGTAGACATGTGGGCAGAACTGGCATCTGGGTTTGTGACAAGATCTTGTGCCCATAAGTAACAGTAACTTATCTGCAGGAGGACACGGTAAGCTGTGTCCTCCTGCAGCTAAGTTACTGTTCCTTAATCTCAGTTATTCTCAAAGGTGCTCCAAAATCCCTGCGCATGTGTCATGACATCTGTACAATAGAAATTCCTTCTAAGCGTCTTTTAAAGGTGCTAGGAGTCATCTTCTTTTCTATCTAACCATACAGCTCCAGATATATTTGAATGGAGAAAATGGTGATCTCAAAATAGTAGTCATATAAATAAATATCCTTTAAAGTTCATACCCAACTCTAGAGAGAATTCCTCTTCTTCCATTCAGAGTGACAACATCAAACCCTATTCTCCGGCCACCTTCTCTTACTTCCTCTGTGTAAAATCCATCAATAGGGAGACCAGAAGATTTCAATATTTCAATGGCTTTCTGGATCAATGTTGTTTTCCCAACTCCTATAACAAAAAGGTCTCATTATAGCCTTAGTATTCCATATAACAATAACATACCACTGTCATGATGGGCATGACACCCAAAGTGACTTTCCCTAGCCAGCCTACACTGAATGTAATAGGAAGATTTTGGGACGCTACAGTCATATTATTAGATGCTTCTGTGTGGAGCCCACCTATCATGCATGATACAAAAGTAGGGAAAAGAAAGATGGCCTTGATCCACTTGGCAAATGCTCCTTGACATCATGATTTGGATAGGGATCTTTTCTTTAGTGAAGTGGGAATGGTAAACCTGGCAAACAAATTATTTGGGAACCCCCAAGCATGTAATGCATTTGAGTAATGAACAGAAACTCAGTGTCATTTTGGGATGCAGCCCCAAGAATCATTTTCCATGAATCAGAGGAGCAGTTTATAAAAATACGAGAACATCTGTTCAGGTATTTTGTTATCCTCTTTATAAAGACCTTCTGAAAAAGTGATAAATGAGGTCAATCATCTCAATTTCTGCATCACAGAGAAAGCATCACAATAAAAGAGTTTTTTGCTTATTAATATAACCTCCACTTCACCCAAAGCTCTAGTCTTGTCATCTTGTATAATTATATTAGCATCCACTGATAAATGACTGTTTCCTTAGCTCATAATTTAAACTTTCAGAAATCCAATTTATTCCAATAAAATAGGACGATAATTGGCTCATAATTGTACACAGTTTAGAGTTGACATACTAAATCATTTTTAAAAAATTAAGTCACACCATTGAATGTCAGCAACACAGTGCACGTTTGAAATTTAACTGCCACGGAAGTAGCATTTCCACCCATATGAGAGCACATTAAAAATGAGTGAACAAAGGAAAATAACATTACAGAATTTAATGTTACAGAATTGCACATTTCCAGTTCAAGAGTTGTTCCAGTTTCGAATACAATATATTCCCAATACCTGACATTGTTTTATTCACCAAAAATTCTCTCTTTTTTAAAAAAAGTAATGGGCCAAAGTAATAATCTATTTGGAGGCAGGGATTGACTACATTCATGTTACTTGGAGAAAGATCATACCAGGTTCATCAGGCTTGATCTCCTGCTAATACATAATCTATAGCAGTGGTTCCCAACAGTAGTCTGCAAGAACAAAAATATGGTCTGCGGCCTCACCATCACTGTTGCCTCAAAACCTTGTGGCAACGAGAGCAACTGGTCTTGCAAAACCCACTTATAGTGCCAAGACAACAGGGGTGTTGGGAGGGGAGAGGCTGCCTACCCACAAAATATTATTACTACCACATCAGCTCTAGAGTAGTAAATATGGTTTTCTGTGTGCGAGCAGAAGGCAACTTCTGGATGGTATATGTTCTGTATTAGAAACCAGAGCTGATGTGCTCTATCTATTGCAGTTTTCTGAATCAGCACCCCAAATAACCAAACCAAATCTAAAGTTGACCAACAACTGATTTATAACCCTTTTGGTATTAATGTTGGAGAATGGTCCCTGGTCGAAGTGGTCCCTGGTCAAAAATGGTTGGGAACCACTGCTCTAGAGGCACCAGATGCCATATGATCTTTGAAGCTAAGCAAGGTCAGCCCTGGGGATAGGGTGGGTTACAAATGATGATGATGATGATGATGATGATGATGACAGTGCTTCAATGGGAGAACTGACAATGAATGCTAGGTGCGGCCAGCTGTATTTCAGAAAAAACAAACTGACAAAACCACTTCAGATTATTAAGAAAACAGCATGAAATTGATGGGGCCTCAAGACCACAGGCAACTTTAAAGCAGACACACAGAGAGATAAAGCTGTGACTGAAATCTAAAAACCCTGATCTCTAGTCAAAATCGTAACAATATGAAAACTATTGCTAGTGCTTTTGAAATCCCATGTACCAGTCTTGCCTGATCTTGGAATCTAAGCAGGGTCAGTTGTGGTCAGGACCTAAATGAGAGACCCCAAATGAAATACCAAAGTGCTATAGGCCATATTTCAGAGGAAGGAAGTGGGAAAAATACCCCAGAGTATTCCTTGCCTAAGAAAAGCCTTTCCAATCCAAGTCAACAGGTGACTTGAAAGTGCATAAGCACACACATGTATGTCTTTAGACCTAAATACCCTGCATGCACCGGATCCCATATGATCTTGGAAGCTAAGCAGAGTCAGCCCTTACTAGTACATGGATGGGAGACCACCAACAAATTTCAGGTGGTGTATTCTGTGTTTCAAAGGAAGCAACTGGCAAAACTGCCTCGGAGTATTCCTTGCTAAAAAAATAAAACAAACTATGACATGAATGCAGCCTACATACCTCAACATATGAGGTCCCTTCTGATCTTGGAAGCTAAGCAGGATCAGTTTTTGTTACTATGTGATGGGACACCACCAGTGAATACCAGGATATATAACAGAGCTTTCTATGACTCATGATCTGTTACTGTATCAGCTGCAGTGTATAGATTTGTTGCAGAAATGTAACAAGAAATGAAAAAAATCTTGGAAATGTGCATTATATATTAATCTTATATTTTTAAAACATCAATGGAAGATTTTCATGAGGTATGTTGTGTCTCCCTACATTTCATTATTAGGTATTTATCTGTATCTCTTATATGGGATTACTTTAACCTCCGGTTTGCCAGTAAAACTGAATTATTGTATTGCAAAATGATGCAGACCTAAGAAGCATGTGCTGAATGTGAAAAGTTTAGAAAGTTCTGTTTTATTGCATATGAAGGAGCTGCAAAGCCATCTCCAAGTATTCAGTGAATATGAAAACCCTATGACATTCATGGGGACGCCATATGTTTGTTTCCAAAAAGTACTAAATCTTCCAATATATGGAATGAAAACCCAGTTATAGATGGCAGCACATTGTTATGTAAAGGTAAAGGTTTCCCCTTGACATTAAGTCTAGTTGTGTCCAACTCTGGGGGGTGGTGCTCATCTCCCTTTCTAGCCGGCTTTGTATATAGATGCTTCCAATGTCATGTGGCCAGCATGACTGCTTGGAGTGGAGTTACCTTCCCACCACTGTTATGTAGGAGTAGAATATTAGGCACCAATCAATATGATCAAAATGCATCCAAGTACTTTGGTACATCGCTTTTAATAGCAAAAGTATATATATACTCAGTGTGGTCCCCCCCGCTTAATTCTTGTAAAAGTAGTTCAGATGGACTTAGTACCTTTTGAAAAGGAGCTCCACATACAA